AAGAATGAAAACATTGAAGCAGTATCACTAGGCTACACATCCCTATCTATAAAGCTTCTGTCCATCGCTTCTCTTGATTTAAGTACCAACTAATCGCGACTGGCAAGAAATTCCAACAGTACCTTTGTGGTCAGATACTCCCGACAACGTTCAAAGCAACAGCAGTTAGAGAGAAGAAATAATAAACTCGCCCGACAGCTATTTTGTTTCGTTTTGCCAAGGTTTCCACCGATAATTCCATTTCGCACAGAAGACGTGTTCAAATGATATCCGTTTTAGCACTGCCATTCTTCACGGATCTTCTAATCTACTATCCATATCCTTCTCTTATTTCTTCATCGGGCTAGGCTATATTTCGAAAGAAACTTAAGATTCTTTTATATTATTCGCCGAAAAAAAGCAAAAACTAATCCTGCCAAAGCCGAAGACGTCTTGTGTAAGTAAAACTGGCTGCCGGAATTTTCTAGAACCAAAAGAGAAGTTTCTCCTTAGAGTAGATTTTCAAAATCGCAAAGAGCATTCTTCTGTCTCCAAAACTTGTCAGTTTTTTTCAGTTATATATCCAACTATACCAACAACACTATCACTATCAACAACAATGTTTTCGACAGCGACAAACGATTGCGATCCTGAAACAATAAATGTAAACTAAGGAAAAGATAGCAAACCTGCTTAGAAACCAAAAGCAGAAAAAATACTGCTTACATAGAAATGATGAAAATAAAGTAAAAAGCAGTTATCTTCCACTGAAATTAGTAAACCTTTCTAGAATTTTGTTCTTTTTTTATAGCAGTAAATTTTTGCTGCATTCACTGCATTTTCACAATCAGAAGTCCATCTTCCGTCATTTAAAACAATAGGTAATTTCTGCAAAGAAAAAATTCGATGTAAAGAAAAGTTTTTTTCGCTTCCACCGTAAATCAAATGACTTGCCTAAAAAAAGTTTGCTACTATTCAGCACTATGAGTTTACTATTGAAGTTCAACGTAATCTTTGCATGTGAAATTGCAAAAAACTTTAATTTTTGCCATTCCAGTGCCTAGCGTTTTTTGTTCAGTTATTCTGTTTTTAAAAGTAGTATTCATTTTTTTTTCTAATATAAACTGTAAGAATGCAGTTCTCAGTAGTATAGAAAGCACTGAAACGAAAAGATTAATAACTCAACTTCATACGAGGAACCATGTCAATGAAGCTATCAGCCATCGGTGCTCAAGTTACCACTGTACAAGCATCTTTATTATATGCAATTAATTCAATTTTCAAAAGATTGCACAGAAATTTCAAGCATTAAGCCTATTTCAAATTCGCTCAGCTGCAGATATCTAAGCGCAAAAAACTTTTTATTTCTTCCTGGTTCACAAACAACTTAATTTCTGAAAAGAATACTTTTCTTACTGCATGATTTAGATAAAAAAAATCGGTTGCCTTTTGAGCAAATAAATTTGAAAAAAAAAAATACATTACTAGTAACAACAGCATCAAAATATTTGAACCTTTTAATTTCTTAAAAATTTTTTTACAAAGAAAAAAGTTTAAAAAAGAAAGGAAAGACTGTATAATAAAACAACGTTTACTATTTACTATCAAACAATAAAAGTAAGTAAATCCATCGAAAAAATCTCATCATTACTGGCGTTTTACATCCACCACAGTAATTAGTGGTACATAAACACTCCGATATTGCCAGAGTCTGCACTAAATTCGAACAGTAATTTATGAATAAATACTAACAACAAAAGTGCTAAATATAAATCCTACAGTTCCCTGGGAACAATTTAAAGCACCACCAGAAACTATAAGGCTTGAAGGTATTATAGAAATATTCAGCATTAATTTGAGCATTATAATCAACTTGAATTGCCAGCTGTTGCAGTGGTATACCTAAAAAACAAATAAAGGAATAAATTAGAATAAAATTGCTGCTTTTTCCTCTTCTTATTCATTCAACTTCATCCAAGTAATAAATTTTTAGAATTAATAAAGAAGTAAAACTAAACTCTAAAGAACAAATTCAAAAAAAGAAAAAAAAAAGAAAGAAAAAATGTCAACTTGACTTGTCAACTTTCAATCAGAAATGTCATTCTGTATGTGCCGTTTCAGAAACTGTTTGTTAAACATCAATTACCGTCCACAAATAGCGTAAATAAAGATTTAAATAAACTTAAATAAAAAATAAGTATATATAAAGTCTTCTTTCTTCCTCCTTCCTTTTCATTCCCTTCACTGTACTAGTCAAATTTCTCAAGTTAAAAAATCTTCTTTTGCCCTCTATAGACAGCACTAAAATTCACTTTTAATATCTATTAAGTAGCCTCCTCACCTAATCCATTCAAGTAATACAGTGATATACTATAGCCACAGATGTCCATCGAAAAATAACCCCCAAAATGTTTGACCACTAAACAAAAACAAACCGTACAAATTCCTCTATTTCGGTCCAGATTAACCAAATGCAACAAGGCTCAGAAGCAGAATAAAATTTTTTTCATTTTTTTTGTCTTTTTAATCGGTATAGTTTAATGGATAACTAACAAAAAGTGCACACAGTATTTGCTATCCCAGATAACCATAAGTCAAGTAATTTAATCTAATCTGTTGACTGCAAAGAAATACCAAAAATAAATCAATTTCTTTTTTTCTGTGCAAAACATTATAAGTGATTTGAAAAAAAAATTTTTTACGCTATATCCTTAAACATTTTGATCTGTTCATTCTCAAGAAACTTTCTTTATTTTCAAAACTTCATCTTGTTTCCTTCCGCTTTATAACAATAAACATTTTCATCACCTAGTATCTGACACGTTGACACCATGTTTCCACTTCGTTTTTACATTTAAATACCATCTTTACCTCCTTATCTACGCAAAAATCAAATGCCAATTGTCACTCGTGCTCCACAATGCAATACAATAAAACAAAAAATTGATATTCAAAAATTTTCATTGAGAAGCAGACTTCATCAGTGCACTCGCTTCATATTAGCCGCTGCAAAAATCAGAATCTCTACAGCTAACTGCATTAAGGAACAGAAACCAACAAATCCTTGAAGAACCAGTTAACCTAGCATGTAGCTGCTATGATAGAATATTACTGCATGTTCTTTGGCCAACTCTCAGAATTCTTAACTTAAAAACAATAAATTTTCTGACAAACTATTAAAAATTAAGCAGTTTGAAAATATAAACCTACCCCTGCTAACAATCTAACTTCCTAATAAGTTGAAAGCCACAATAAAAACAGTTAGCAATGACTACAAAAAATAAAAAAAATTTAACTCAAAACCATTCATCCATTTTCGCATCAGAATTTCTAAAGTCTTTGATACACAAACATTGTCGTTCCTCTCAACTCGCTTAGCTAATCCCATGTTTTTTAAGTAAAACAAATACAAATAACCGCCAATACAGTCTTCATCCAATAAAGTACATTGCTCTTTATCTATTTTTACACCTCTCCATTTTAGACCTCAACTGCTTAGTGGCATCGTAATTTAATGATCCTTTTACAACCACCCTCTTACATTTTATTTTTCTTATCCCGTGAAACCATTCTGAGGTGTGAAAAAAACTGTGCTCATTTCAACCGCAATTTCTTCGCCTATACAATCCAACTTATTGCACATTTTCAAAAACAGCTTCCGACTTTAATGCTGCTAGAAGCTGGCAGCAGTACTCTAGAATGTTTCATTTGCTGATAACTTTGACAAAGAACGATTGAAGCTGTAAACATTAAAAACCTGCATTGACTGTGTTTGTAACTCTAAATCAAGCTCTCCATTAAGCTCCCAACTAAAACCATTCTGTTAGTCGCAACTAGGGAACTGAAAAAAAACTTTATTACGTAAACTCCAACAGTTAAAATATGATACCAATCACTCGTTTCAAAGACCCAAAAAATTAATTTGAAAAGAGGAAAAAAAATCCATGACAAATCCCTAAGGAAGTTTAAGAAAACGTAATACGACTGAAACTTGGAAACCTTATCCTCACTTCTAAAAATTAATCAACCTCTGGCAGACCCCAAACGAAGAACCGACCCCCCACACCAACAAAAAGCTACTTAAGAAGAAGTCACCTTCACAACAAAAATTCCACTTCCTCACAAGTCAGTTCTTCCCAAGCACTTATGCAGCTCATAGCATCCCGTGCGCAATCTTCAAAAAGACTTCAAAACCATCTCGATACCTCAAAACGTCGCCAAACCCCTCCAAACACGCTTTAAAAAACCACAAAACCCTCACGCCCACACATCCACCTACCACCATCGCGTCGACGGAACGACCATCTCAACAGTGGAGTCAAAGCCACTTCTACCCTGCGTGCTACAATTGAAACGAAACTGTGAAGAGAGTCGCGTCATAATTAGTCACAGTTAAAATTCAAAAGTCTCCGACTAACTTTGCCAAAACGAGGAAATGTTTATTTATACGCAGAAGGGCTCAACGCACACACTGATACACCATGAAAGGGATCAAAAACAACCGTTCATAAGAATGTTAGACTTACAAAAACTAAAAAAAATAAATGAAATGCAAGTTAAGCAAAAGAAACAAAAAAACAACAGCATGGAAACGATATATGGAAACAAAAAACCACTAATTAGTGATAAACTCACTCAAGACTCAGTAGTATCTTTTACTCCATGCACTCTTTGATTACAACGAAATTTTGAACAAGTGAGGCTGCAGCTAAAATGTCTCTCTCTGGTCAAGAGAAAAGTGTAATGAAAAATGAAAATTAGAAAATGAAAATTATATACCTTTATAAAAGTTACAGTAGTAGAAGAAAAAACCGTATCAAAGAAAGATAAGCAAGTGAGGTTCAGTGAAGAAATAAGGTAACTGCTAGCTACTGCTAGCGGCAGTGCATACTCACTCATGCACGTGACCTTTAACAAGCAAAAGATATCAAAATTATGAGGAATTACGCAGAAATCTACACGCAAAACACAAACTAAAAGAACAACAATAAACTATTTACAAGTTCTTCATTTCCGAATCTTTATCGAAGATCTGCAGTACCACGTGGAGCGCTAGGGAAACGTTGTTCATACCGCTCGTCCCGTAAATACTTTGCAGAAACAAGCTGCCCTTAAAAACACAGATGCTTAACAGTAAATGCAGTTCGCTGATAAAAACAAAAATGAAGAGCGCAAACTGTACCATTGAACCAAGTACCATGAAGTGCAGTAAATGCAGCTTTGCAATCTGGTAAAGTTGCAAAGCGGGCAAAAACCACACCGTCTTTAGAGCCGCCTTCAACGTGAACATGAAGAGGTCTTATGGGGCTGAGCTTCTGTACCAGAGCGCGACCAACGTCTGCACTATCACGCTCTCTAAAAAAAAATGCAAATTTGAACATAACAGTGAACAGTGTCCTGACATTTCATAAAGAAATAAAGATCAGAAAACTGTTCAAACATACTTAGAAGACGAGAACATCCCACGTAACTTAAGGCAATGTGAAAGAGCCTGGTCTGGAACATTCAACTGTGTACGCCCTTCGAATGCTAAATGTTAATACTGTAACTAAGCCCAAACACTTTAACTCCTTAGCAACAAAGAAAAATGAGAGAAAACGCCCAAATGACGGTGCTAAGCAAAAGAGTCCATAAATGTGAACCACTGAGCCTAAACTGATGAAAGAACTTAATTGCAAAAAGAAAAAACATCTTTTTTTTTTTCCTTTGTATTTAAATATTTCCCAAACGTATTTTTTAAAGTATACTCCAACTGGTACAATCATCCAGAAGCCTGTTCACAAAAAATATGACGCAAACTAGCGTTTTAATATCAAATAACACCTACCACTGCCCTGCCATCCCACTTTGTTTGCAGGTACCCATCGCCAAACGGCGCATTCTACTCCATTAATTATGCGACTTTCGGTACTAATCCTAGAATCATTCTGGTTTATGAAATTAACAGCTTCTTGCCATCGACGCCACTGAGCACTTCCTTTCGTCCTAAATAACAAAGCAAGTTAAACAAGCAAAAATGCCACAAAATTTCAAAAACTCCCATTCGTCTAAATATACCGTTCGGACGGAGGAATCAACATGTCACGCACGTGGGGTTCCGCGATATATTCTTGCCCATCAGCAGCAGAACTGCGAATAATCTCTTAAAATTCAAGAACAAGCATTAAGTGAGGAAACAATGAAAAGTGCAAGATAGCTTAAATGAGACATCACTTCAGTTACCTGTGATCTTCTCAATTAAAGCAAACACTCGTCTTTTCCTTTCTGCTTTAGCCGACAAAAGTTTCTGATTCAGAATATATAATCCCATACCTGTCCCGCACACTGAAAACGTGACCATCACAACTTTAAAAATTAAGAAATTAACCTCCTAAAACTGCTTTAATTTATATCTTTTTATCCCTTCCTACATCTAAAAAACTTAAAACAAACCCAATGCAGCTACAATTATAGGCAGTACTGCGTACATATAAACAAGCGTGAATGTTTCGTTCGCCAAACCTAAAGAACAGTAAAAGCCAATAAAACACAAATATTGTTAGTTCAATAAAAAAATCGAATCAGACAGTTTATGAATATCACTATTTACCTGCCACAAAGATGCTAGCATCAATCACCTTTTCAGAGTGTATAACACCGATGTAGCCGCATAACAAAAGTAGAAATGTACAACCAACCACATAAAGCAATAAATTAGCAACGTCTAACCCACTTTTCCGAGCTAACGAGTGAGATCTCACAGTCTCTGCCCGATAACCACTACACTAAAAATCCAAATTTCAATAACTACGGAAGATACTGCACCTGGAAGCATTAATACTGAATTCCGATCCCAACCTGCACATTTTTTTTGAAGGGAGCAGTCATCGCGCCATAGGCGTAAGAAGGCAACTGCGACATTGAATTCATAAACGACGGACGATCTGACTTCGGGTTAATTATTCTACTACTTTCCATATGATCGTCTTCCTCATCTTCGTCTTCTGGGTCATTGCTGAACATTCTTTTTCTCATACCACTCGATGCTTGCTCGCCAGGCATATATAAATAAGTCATGCGTTTTCGTGGCTCTAAAATTCATTGAAGAAATTATTTACCGATTAATTACAAATACGCTGTAAAAACAATAGTCCTCCAGCCCCAAATGCATAAAATATAAAAAAAAAAAAACCGCGAAAAAAAAAACAAAAAAATTTTACGATTTGAGTAATCAGCAGTTATGTCGCTGAACACTCCCGACGTTTCATAACGAGTTCTAGTGGACTGAGATAAAAATGATGGGGCGTCATTCAGTTTTGTAACACGAGGTGGGGTTGGCACACGCTCAGAGAGCTTTGAAACACGAGACTTTGTAACCGGTATGGGAGGGGAGAATCCGGGGTAGCCAACTTCGGCCCTGAACTTTCTCCAGAACTTTTTCTTTGAAGACAAAAAAATTACGCAACACCAATGGCTATTCACAACAACATATTGAGAAAATTGAATATAAAACAGAAAAAAAAAGGTAATAATAATAAGAACAGTAATATAATAACGATGTAACGTACCAAAAAAACTAAAGAGTGGAAATAATTAGTTTAATTAATTTACAGAATGGCTTACATCGGTTTTGAAGCTGGGATTCTTGAAGATGACGTGTCTAATTGTCCCGTAACCTCTGGTACTATCGGGTCTTGCGTAGCATCAACTCTCGTTCTACTAAAAAAATACCAACCAAAATAGAAAATTTACAACTTTCTTGTCGTTGCAACGTTTAAATAATGAAAAATTATTGGTAGATTTCCCTTACACAATTTTGGACGGAGATTGTTGAGAAACTGATAAGCCATAAGACCTCGTAATCCTCGTTGTTGATGTATTTTTTGGCTGAGTGGATACATCGAAGACCCCCTCGTTCTCAAACTCTTGGACAGCCGCTGTGGCAACCTCCTCTTCCGGTTCCGAACTGTTTGTCTTAGATACCCGACGCTCAGTTGGTGTTTTTTTCCTGACTATTTCCTAAAGACGAGAAGAAGTTCTGTAAAATCGATGGTACATCAAATGCGAGACTGTTTCAACCCACAACCCCCACCTTCCCAAGTGCTTGTTTTGGTCATATTCCATACTTACGTTTCCGATATTCACCTCAGCACCTAAGGAAAAACCCGTTCATTTCTTAAAAACTTTTAAAAGAGTTTCTTAATGTGCATCCTCTTCTACTGCACAGTTCTAGTTATCTTCAAGGTCTTCTTGTGACACGATAGGTATGCTTTCATACTGGAACTGCAAACAATTTCAGGATAAGCGCCTAAAATTTCTTAATGCCCTCACAGCTACTGGCTACTCTGGGTCGAAGTTTTTTTTTAATCCAAGTGACCGGCTTTAAAACACTGCAAAGACGAATAAAAGAAAGCAGAAAGAACTTATGAACAGAATTAGTGGAGATGACCTTGCTACTTGAGGATCCATTTGTATCAAAAGATTTTGTTGATTTTTACCGTCCACCCCCTTGGGCCAGATCTGTACAGATAGCTAATAAAATACAAATAAATGTCCCCTCTCCCCCCCCTCAAAAAAAAGTGTCGAGAAATGTAAAAAGCGTTAACAGTATGCTATAATAAAATGAAACTACCTAGTACATCAAATCCAACAAAAACTTTAAAGAAAAATCTTTTCTTTTTCAATTGAAGCTTTCAACATGCATTCTCCGGACAGTTAAATTACTGACCACAGTGCTGGTTGTGACCGTCCTTTTGGAAACCCGGCTTGGACTTTTACTTCCACTGCGCGTCCTGCTAGTTGGCAATTTGGTAGTATCACCTGTAGCGTTCGCTGCGGCGGCGCGACGTTTCTCCAACTGCTTTTCATACAGTGATCTTGTGGTAGCTGTAATGGGACCAACGTTGGCTCCCAAAGCCAACAACTGTTCCCTTAGCTGAACATCTGTTAACGTTGCAGGATCTGCCATCGTTCCTATGAATGTTCTAAGGTGAAAATTTTGAAGGCAAAAAAAATCTGATGTTGTGAAAATAGAAATTCAGTAAGGATCGAATAAGAACAGAACGTTATACACCTCACTTGAAAAAGAAGTAAAAAAATTCCTTTAAAGAGAACAAGAATATTTCTTCAAAATTAAACAGAAAGTTCAGATGAAATAACTTAATCATAATTAAACAACTTTATCATCATTATAACATGACGGAAAAGTTTCGTTTCTAAAGTGGCCGAGAATTAAAATTTCAAGCTGCAGTACTAGCATTCTATTGACAGAAGCGTATGAAAAAAAAAGGCATGTACATAAACAAAAATAAGAATGCATTAAAAGTCTGTGTAACGAAAAAAATTTCGAAAATTTGAAATTTGCTATACGTAAACATAAAGAACACAAACAACCGATGACCATACAACTTTAACACATTCGCAAAAATGCAAATAACACTCATAAAAAAAGTATGGATAACAATAGGTCGTCTGAAAAGCGAAACTCTCAAAATTTTATAAGCAAACATCCAGCACAACCAACACTGAAAAATTCATAAGGCAGGAAACAGCAACTTGAACTCAGAATTTCGGGAAGCAAAACCAACAGCGAAAGGCGAAGTGCGAAAAAAAAAGAAAAAAAAAAGAAAACGCGCCTTTCGAAGCGATCAAATGTGCGTATTTTCCCGCGCAAATTTTGTCCTCCTCTGGCAACGGCACAGAACTTCACTGCGTGCAACAAAAAAAGCGGTTTGGCACTTGTGCTGTTTGGGGCGAGTAGTCGTTTAGTTCATTTGGCTAAGGCTGAGTAACAGCTTACAGGTTGGGTTTTGAATTATGCGGCGCTTCTCATGTCGAGGTTACTGTACGGTAAGAAATCAGTTTGTAAAGGGTTGACAAGAGGAGGAACGCAAAATACCTCTTTGCAGTAAACAAACTAGAGATTTTGTGACGATATGAAAACGGCATCTACAAAAATGTGCACGTCACTGGCGAATGTTGCCGGGGTTTGGGGAATGGCAACAGTTAACATTTCAGTTGCTTGCTGATGAAATCATTGCTTTGAAGATTGTTGGCTTAATTGCTTTGGACGGAAGATGGTGCAGACATAAATTTTTTCGTTTTTAAAAGTGCAGAATAAGGTTTTTCGTTCTTAAAAGTGCAGAATGAGCAAATGTTGCTGGAGAAGCAAAGGAGAGTTTTGAAGGTAAAAAAGTGTTCATTTGAAGTTTGATTTATATGGGCTTTTGGCAGAATTCCACATTGCTTAGTTTGTGTTTCCTCAACCGTTAGCTGTGGGATTTCCTTGGCCACGCCTTAGTTGCCCGTTTTTTAAGCTTATTGGATGCTGGCCGGTACATTCGGTTGGAGGGACTAATGAAAACTTGTATCGGAGTATGTATCAGAAGATGTGTGGTCTAAGTGCTTTTTGTTTGGAAGATGGTTTATGATCCTTGAGAGCAATGGAAATGGAATTGAATTTTGCGAATTTGTGGCTCATTTTCGAAACAATGATAATCGTCGATGAAATCCCTTCAATACTTGTGTCTTCCATAGTTTTTGTACATTAATGTCAAACAGGTTGAAACTACGGGAAGAAAATGAAAGGTTTTTAAATTTTAATAGGTAAATTTCTGCTAAGGAAAGGGGTCTCTTGAAAACTTATTGGGGTAGATGAACAAAAAAAAACTAGACATTCCCAAATGCGTCTCTTGTCAAAGCGTAATTTATAAGCTTGTTTTACGTTCATCGTAGCCGGACTGTTCTTTTTTTTTTCTTTTTGAATTTTTAAATTGTCACCGAAAACGGTAGGGAATTCTTAGTTAAAGCTTAAAGCAGCGTTTTTAATACTGGCTTTAGGTTGGTTTTTGGTTACTGTTTTCAACAAAATTTCCGACTAACTCCTTCCTTTACTTATTCTCTCTTTACTCTGTAGACTAACAGCTATTTTATTTTGAAAACCAGATTAGAATGAATCATGAAGCACAAAATCCCTATTAATATTGTCAGAGTGGTTTTTCTTTTGCTTTAGAAAGTCGCCCAACAACGAAACAAACAGAAACTCAAAACATCAGGCACATTGCCCATAAGTGATCCTATTTCACCGACAGATTTAGTTAAAGTTAGTCCCTATGAAGTTGCTCCAACTACATCAGGAACTCATGATGTACCTTTCTTAGGTTCTCTTTCCATAAATAGCTATATTTTCCAAGGAATACTAAGAATAGCAACCGTCAAAGAAAACCCTTTCTTAGTCGCAGTCTCTGCACCAGGGCTCCTCGAAACCGCCTCAAATCGGAAAATAGTAAAAGCAAAAGTCATTGGGCTTCCAGTATGCAAGTTAGAATTTGAAGTATTGAAAAATTAGGAAAAAGTCGGCGTTGGATCGTAACCATCCGAAATTCCGACTATGAAGCCACTGTTGGTAATATCCCACATATATGCCAGAGTTTAAATTTGAAACAGAAAGTTCAACAGCATGATTACGAGAAACTACTAAATGCCTCAGCTATATTCGCATTAGAACATTTCAAATAACGGATTTAAGTGTATGTATTCCTTGTTATGATCTCTCTCAGAACAAAGAAAGAGGGGTCGTCGCACGGCGGAAGTTTTAAGATGTTGACGGACAGATGAGGATTGAAACCGAGGGGAATTGGCGCTCGCTTATACAAATGTGGCACTAAGATGACCGCAAGGCACGAAATTATGCAAAATTATCTCTTTCCTTTACCCGTGTATTAAAAATTGCCTATACTTAGTGCTTGATAACGCTTGTACTTTGCCCTCTTTGCTAATGCTGGTGTAAAATGCGTTCTTTAAAACACCATCTTTATTTTGTATCGATCGACGCCAGATTTTTTATGTCGGTGGTATGGCGCCGATCGTTGTTATGTCTTTCTTCGGCATGCTTGTTCATGGTTAGTTGAATAAAGTGGTTGGCTATTGCGCGCTGGTTGTAAGCTTTTATTGGAGATTATTTCCCAATTCTACTCTCAAGGAGTAAAGTTTTCCTATATGGATAGTTCTTCCAGTATTGAGAGTGTATTTGAAACCAAAACTTTTTCTACAGAAAAGCCTTTCGCCTTCTGTAAAAGTTGTTGTAGGTTGAGACAAATCTGATCATTAAAAGATGAACTTTTTGAGTTACCTGATAGCCAGCTCAGTCCTTCCCACCCAATTCTTTTCAATAATAGTTCATCGGAAGTTACTTTCCTCAACCCTGCATCTGCTGGGTTATTCGTTGAAGGAACGTATCGGTACTTGTACTTACTAGACTGTATCTCTCGCACTCGACTTGTCATAAACTCCGGAAATTCACCAGGGTCATCAACCTCCAACCTAGAAATTATATATCTTGAGTCCAACCAAACAATCGACACCATTGACGCACATCCTAATTTTTGCTTAATGGGGTTAAGAGTTCTAACTCCTATTACCGCCGCTAGAAGTTCAATACGAAGAATGGTGATTATTTTTAATGGAGCCACTCTCCACTCTTGCAAACAGCGGCGTAATCACGTACTCTTTGTTCTTCTGAAAGCGTCCATTGGAACAGCTGAATATGCTACTTTAGAAGCACCTACGAATAGGTGCATCTACATAATTTCTCCTGCGATACATGGTACTGTCTTTAACTGCAAAGATTGCAAATACTAATCAACTTACTAAATTTTCTCAACAAACTGACATCAATTTCTTCATCCCACATCAGTTTTTTCCTTTGAAGCGTTTGACAGGATAACTTTAAATTTAACAAATACGGTGAAAGTAATCTGAATGGGTAATTAATGATATAACTTAAACT